GGACTTAGAACTATTCCAAGTCCGTGGGAGGTCCTTCCTGCTACAGTATCAAGCAGCTGTTTGCTTTGTACAGGTGGAGTCAAGCTGGAAGATGCTGTGTATGATTGGAGTTGCCAGTATTGACTCACATGCTTGTTCAGAAATGTCCCGGACTCCTATTGTAAGAGCAAACTTTGTCCAGTCTCAAATTAGCCGCACCATTGGGTCAAGATGCACCAAGTATGCGAAGTGGTCCGCCCTTTTAAAAACGTCTGTTAAATTTTCTTGGCTAAATTCAGCTGCGTCTGAATTTCTTGAGCCTGAAGTATGGTTTGGAATGTGGCAAAGTGGGTCAGCAACAACCAGTATTACAGTGGTGGGAGGATCTCAGGATCCCAGTAGAGACAGAAATGAGAGGAATATATCGTAGGGATCAGTTAGGATGGAGAAGGAAATGAATAAATACTGACTTCATTAACAATCGGGGGAGGGGGGGGGCATTGTGAAAGTGAGAGGGGAGGTGGTGACGTAGCTCTTTTTTATGGAGAGTCGACATGATAATGACCTTCTCCTCTCCATGGACAAAATAATGTCTTTGAACCCCCCCCAACCCCCCCCCCCCAAAAAAAAAAACCCCGGGAGAAAGCACAACCGAGGGGCCGAAAGGTGAGTAGATAAAAAGACTTGGGGGAAAAAAACCAACAGAACTTTCAACAGAACTTGGCAGCATCAAGAGCAACGGCGACAGCGACAATACTGAAAGCAACAGTGCAACAGCACACGACAAAAAAAGCCCAAATAAAATGTACTTATACGAGTGTTGAACACCAACAAGACGGAATCCATTATTTTCAAGGCGAGACATTGTCTTCCCCAGACTATGCTATCTAGAATCGAGTGAGAAGATAATATGTGTGTTCGATAGTGAAACATATTATTACTTCCATTTAGAGGCCATAGTACTAATAGTAGTGAGGCAAGTGACTTATACTAAGAAGCGAGCCTGCCACATTTTACAGCGAATTATGATTAGGACCTATAATGTCACTATGATATATAAATATCTAAAAAATAAGTTCCCTAGGGTCCACACAATGCCTAAAGGGTGCCATTGAAATATAACCAAGCCCCCGGTTTGTTCAATGACGTTAAAGAACGACCGAGTGTGCGTGTCATTTTGAAATCAAAGTGAGGTAAGCTATAATATATGATCAAGAATATTGGGGTCTCGCCGCTCGCCCAACTGTTGTCGACGTCATTTGAGTCTTTCGTAAACACGATAAAAAGGAGGAGAAGGAGAAAAAAAGATGAAATGAAACGAGTTCAGGTAGGCGGGAAGACGGCAAGCTAGAGAAGGAGTGTTGCATTTCCATTCATTGAACCCACCCACCAACACTGGGTCTCGCGTTCGTATAAGCCGTTTCCATAAATAGCGCGGAAACTTGATGCCGAGATAAGATAAAATATGATAAGGCATGATTGTGTAAAAAGGGACTCCATAAGGGAAAACAATCTAATATGTGTTGTCCACATCGTGCGCTTTCATAAGATCATCTCCTACGCCTTCCCTCTCTCACGCACCCCGTTCCATACACACCAACACAAGCGCAGAGACATACAGAAAAACATTAGATGTCTATAAACACACGCTCACACGCCAGCTTTTTCTGACAAGGAGAGAGGGAGAGGGAGACGGAGAAGGAGAGGGAGAGGGAGAGTGAGAAGGAAAGGGAGAGGGAGAGGGAGAGAGAGAGAGAGGGAGAGAGAGAGAGAGAGAGAGAGAGAGAGAGAGAGAGAGA